TAGCAGTGAGGTGGCTGCCAGCACCTCCGTGCACAGAGCTGACCATGGCTGGTGAGCTGGGTTGGCCCACATTGCTCCCCTGACAGGAGGTAACGGTCTTAAATTGTGCCAGGTTGGATATTAGCAAAATTTTTTTCTCTGATAGAGTGTTGATTCAGTGGCACAGCTGCCCATGGAGATGGTGGGGTCAGTATTCCTGGAGGTATTCCAGAACGGTGGGGATGTGGTACTGAGGGACGTGGTCAGTGGGCATGGTGGGGTGGGTTGGGGTTGGACTTGGTGATCTCATAGGTCTTTTCCAACCTTTATGATTCTGTGATGCTACGAGACCTTTCTGTTCTCCTCCTGGCAGCTCTCTGAAGGGAAGATGATGGAGAGAAGGAAGAAGATCGCCTTGGAGCTTTCAGAGCTAGTGGTCTATTGCCGACCCGTGCCCTTCGATGAAGAGAGTGAGCACCTGCTGGGCCCATGGTCAGCACAGGCAGCCACTGTGGTGGTACAGACCCTGCTGTGAAGGTTCCATTGCACTGCTGCTGAGATGTGGCACCATCTGAAGCAGCCCCAGGGAGGGGGGCAGGGAGCCTCCGATGTTTGTCACCCATCAAATGCTTTTAAGGGCAGAAGAGGGGTTACATGTGCCTGGTAGTGTCTGAGCCAGCACTGGGACGGGCTTGGTGGAGGTGCCTGGAACAGGAATGTGCTCCTGTCCAGGGGCTGGATCGCTCCGTAGTGGCTGCTTTCCATCACTGCTCCTGGCTTACGTGTGCTCTGTCTCCTCCCAGAGATCGGCACAGAGAGGGCCTGTTACCGAGACATGTCCTCCTTCCCTGAGACCAAGGCAGAGAAGTACGTCAACAAGATCAAAGGCAAGAAGTTCCTGCAGTACAACCGCCTGCAGCTCTCCCGTATCTACCCCAAGGGCCAGCGCCTCGACTCCTCCAACTACGACCCCCTGCCCATGTGGATCTGCGGCAGCCAGCTGGTGGCCCTCAACTTCCAGACTCCTGGTGAGAGCAGCAGGCAGGGGAGGGGGTCCTCACGTGCACCCTGTGGCAAATGCACAGGCGAGGAGGGTCCTGCAGCCCCCACTCTGTGTGCTGGGCCGCGTTGGGAGTCCGCTCGTAAACTCACCAGAAAAAATGACCATTATATTTATTTCTGCTGGGTTTCCCATTGCTTTTGTGCATTAAGGTGTCTCGCAGGTTGGTTTGATAAGCTGAAAGGAGAGGGAGGGGGAAAAGGGGATGACTCGTGGATCACACATCCCCTGGGCAGAATGCGTGTGATGTGTGCATGGGCTGAGCAAGGCTGTGTGGCACAGGGGTTCTGGGGGCTTGAGCCTCATGCAAGGCACAAAGAACACAAGTGGAAAGGGCTTAGGACCAAGGTGATCATTGAAGTCCCTGCCAGCTCGAGGCATTCTGTGATCCTATGACCTCCTGCACCCACCTCCTCCCTCCCTGTGCTCCCCAGACAAGCCCATGCAGATGAACCAGGCCTTGTTCCTGTCCAGCGGGCAGTGTGGGTACGTTCTGCAGCCAGCCAACATGCGGGACGACATCTTTGACCCCTTTGACAAGAGCACGCTGCAGGGCGTCGAGCCGCTCTCCATCTCCATCGAGGTGAGTGCCAGCCTGTGGCTGCTGCTCTGCAGCAGGACACCCTGAGCCCTGTGGGGAGCTGCACTGCACCCCACTACCTCTGTGCCCAGGGTGCTGGTGCCAGCAGGTGGCAATCATGCGCTGTGCTGTGCCACATCGCTGCCAGGGCAGTGCCACAGCCGTGCCTTGTCCCCTGTGCTAGTAAGGTCTCAAGGTGGCTGCCTTGCTGTGAGCTCAACCCCCTCGGGGAGGGCTTTTCAACCCCGTTCCTACTCATACAGGGTTGGACTGCAGATGTTGGCCAAGGCTGGGGCACCCAAGAGAGCCACTGCCCTGCTTGGGGAGGGCACGGCATTGGCACCATCCATTTCATAACTCCCTAAAAATCCCTAGCACCATTTCTTTGTGACTTTCATTTACCAAAGCACTGCCCCTCAAACTCTTCTCACATCTTGGAGTGGAGCTGCAGCCTCCAGGCATCAGGGGACCCCATGCTACAGCCATCTCCTTGAAGAGATGAGCTCAGCTGCCTGGTGTCCCCACCAAAGCCAGCTTTCATGGATGGAGAAGCTGCCTGGAGCACAGCATGACTCAAAGCATGTGATGCAGTGCTGGCAGTGCCTCCTTCCCCTGCTCCAGTGACATATGGCCCTTGGCAGGAGGAGCAGGGAGCAGTGCTGTGAGAAAGCAGGTTGTCCTTTGTGTTGAGCACCCACTGCTGTGGGCAGAGGGGAGGAACAGCTTCCTCCAGCCAAAGCGATGGGAGCAAGAAGTTCTGATGAAGCCATGGGTGTCCAGTGCCAAGGTCCAGCTATGGTCTGAGTCCAACTTGTGGGAGTGATGCTATGGTCACAGCCGGGTTGTGCAGTAGGACTGCAGGCAGCTGAGCTGCCTTGCTGCTGGCTTCAGGGTAAACTGCAGACTGGTGACACGTGGCAGTTCCACATCTGGGAGCAGCATCCCTCCAGGTGTCTGCATCTCTCTCCACTTAGTGCAGCTCAGGCAGGGGAATTATCCAGACAGCAATGTTCTGTGTATACAAACAAGTCTTTTCTTTGGCTCCCAGCCTTCACTCGGTCTCTGTTCCCCAGGTCCTGGGGGCCAGGCACCTCCCCAAAAACGGCAGAGGAATCGTTTGTCCCTTTGTGGAGGTGGAGGTTTCTGGGGCAGAGTACGACAACGCAAAGCAGAAAACAGAGATTGTGGGTGAGTGTGGAAGGAGAGGTGGTGTGGGTGGGTTGGTTTCCCCCCAGATGCAGCCCTTCTGCTGGCTGAAGTGCTAGCAGGGGCTTGGCAGCAGTGGGGGGGACTGAGGGTGATGCTCAGACACCCCCACACCAAGGGAGGAGATGGGGCTGCAGGTTCTGTCCCCCCCACCTTTAAGGTGGAAGAAGCAAAGCTGTGCTGGGGCTGCCCTCTCACTGCAGCATTCTGTGCACAGCGGACAATGGCCTGAACCCCCTCTGGAGCCCGAAGCAGTTCCACTTCCAGGTCAGCAACCCGGAGTTCGCCTTCCTCCGCTTTGTGGTGTATGAGGAGGACATGTTCAGCGATGAGAACTTCCTGGCCCAGGCAACTTTCCTGGTGAAAGGCTTGAAGACTGGTAAGGGCTCAGGGCTGCCGTGTGCGTCGTATCGGTGCTCAGCCGTTTGCTGAGCACGGGGCAGTCAAGGAGCTGTGCTGCAAATCGTGTGGGGCTGTGTGTGCCGCAGGGTTCCGAGCCGTACCCCTGAAGAACAACTACAGTGAGAATCTGGAGCTGGCTTCCCTGCTTGTCAAGATCGACATCTTCCCCAGCAAGGTGAGAGGGTGTTACTGCAGCCATCCTGCAGCAGGCAGCTGTGCTGTCCTGGCTTCTGCTCCCATCCAGTCCCCAGGGCCATGCAGAAGGGCTCTTGCAGACAAGTGAAGAAATCAAAAAAAAAAAAAAAAAAAAAGAAGCTAAAATCATGCAATGGAATGGGTTGCCCTGGGTGGTGGTGTGTCTCTGCAGGTAGTTCAGGGGGTGCAGTTGTGGCAGTAGGAGATGTGGCAGGGCGGGCCAGTTGGTGGTTGGACTCAGTGAGCACAAGGGTGTTTTCCAACCTATGACCTGGAAGCCTGGGACACCATAGGTTATCTCTCGGGGGCTCGGGGCAGCCCTGCCTATAGTTCTGCACCATCCCACCCCCTTCACTGCCCTGTGCTCTGACCCGAGCAGGAAAATGGTGACATCAGCCTCTTCAGTGGCTCAGTGCTGCGGGAGCGAGGTGGGGACATGACCAGCCAGCTGCTGGCCAGCAGAGCCAGGGAGGGCTCCTTCGAGGTGCGGTACCAGCAGCCCTTTGAAGACTTCCGAGTGTCACAGGAGCAGCTGGCTGAGCACTTCGAGAGCCGGGAGCGAAGGTGGGCCAGCAGCCAGGGGAGACCCTGAGCATTGGGGTCCTTGGGGGGCAGGCTGTGAAACGCAGCCTCGTGCTAGAGCTGAGCTGCAGCCATGTCTGCTTTCTGGAAACCCCAAATTAATCTGGGAAGTGAGGGCAAGGCTTGAGGGGTTCACTGCTAATGGGTCGGGCTGGGGGTGATGAGACGCAGAATGGGAGATGCATGAGGGGAGCTGTGAGCTGCTCCATCCCCTTGTGCTTCTGTGCTGCTCAGGCATGGGAGCTGGAAATAGAAATCTCAGAGCGGTGGGAGCTCAGTGTGGGGCACACGGAGAACTGGAATGGGGGTGCAGCACAGGACCTGGAAGCACTGTGTCCCCTCTGTGTCCCCACAGGGCGCTGCGAAGGACCAGGGTCAACGGGGACAACCGGCTGTAGGGCCGGCGGGAAGCACCTCCCGTGCCTGTGAGTCTCACGGCACGCTGCGAACTGGTTTCTATGGAAACGGCACTGCTATGGCCTACTTTCAGGCAGCTTTTCCAGTTTCTCTGCTGAAGTGTGTTCGAGTGGAGAACTAAAAAAAAAAAAAAAAAAAATTGGAAAAATAAAATATATAAACAACCAAAAAACCACCCAAACACCCACCCACCTTCACCGCCAAGCCCTTAATGAAGTGGATGGATGTGCACAGCCTGCCAGGGTGAGAGACAAAACTGTAATCACAAGGAACTGGGCAAACGACACCAACCACTGCACCGCCAGCCCTCCACCCACTGTCTCAGTGTGCACAGGGCTGTACTCTGCCTCCAGGGCAGCAGCGGCCCCACAGCTCCATGGCCACTAGCTTAAAATCCAATAAATGTGTCAGTATTACGTGCATCCCGTCTCGTTTTGCTGCCCTTGCCTTCCTCCCTGCTGGAAGGAGCGAGCAGGAGCAGCCCCAAGGTTACAGCTGGGGTGAGAACTGGAGGTTGTATGGCTGCAGTGGGGGGAGGGATGGTGGGGATGCAGCCTCTCAATCACCAGCCGACTCTCGTTCGTATTTTACGCTCTTTATTTAGGAACAATCAAAAATGTCTGGTTTCATTTCAACAAACTGTACAAGCAAGCTCTTTCCCTCTCCCACCCTCATGTTCACATATACAAAAGGAAGGGAAACTTGCCGTTCACTTCTCAGAAGTGGCATTGTTGCTACAGGGAGTTCGTGCCCTCAGAACGAGAGCAGTAAAGTCCATAGCAGTGCAAGCTACCCCAGCCCAAGTCATCGCCACAGCCCACAGTCACAGGCAGCTTCACTTTTGTTTTTTTTTTGTCTTTGTTTTCTCTTTAAAACCTTTACGAAAAGTAAAAACTATTTCCTGTCTCACCTGGCTGCCAAGGTGACCATCTAAAATCGTGGTCTTAAAAATAGTAAGAACCCACTGGAACCCCCTGGTACAAAGACACAGCAGAGCCTCTGCTCTGCCCCCAGCCGCACGGCCACCCTTATGAAAGGTCCCAGTGCAGCTACAATTACATTTTCCTTTGGATAAATCCAAGCAAAAAAAAAAAATCCAGGTCATTCAGCACCAGCATGATTTCTAAATAATAATAATTAAAATTTAAAAAAAAAAAAAAGAGACCCCATTAGGCTGACTTTGTGGTCTGCTGAGAAACAAAGTGATCAACACGCTGTTCCCAAAGTCTCTCTTTAGTGCAATGTTAGTATGTGCAAGGGGAATCACAGCCACGTACCCATGAACACCGCCAGCCAGATGGGGCAGACAGAAAGTGCAATTTTTAGCAAGAAGTTTTCTATGCCACGGATTCCTAAGCCCAACCTTCACTAGCACCAGTGAGCAGGAGCCCTCCTGACCTGCCCTCCATCCATGGCTTCGGTTGCACCATCCACATCTGGCCAAGGGCAGCCAGCAGAGTGCTCTGCTGAAATAGGCAATGAGAAAAAAAGAAAGGGAAAACCACTGCTGCTTCAGTAACTGCGCTCACTTGCTCTGCTCTAATGGCTTGTGATGCCAGTGCAGCATTCTTGGCACGCACCACAGCCAGCAGGAGACACAGCACAAACTAAACTTGCAAAAAAAAAAAAATGAAAGTACAGCTTGCAAGGCCATCCCCATTGCCTAATCTTTCCCTGCTGGTTTTGAGATCAACTGAGAAATTAAAATGGAGCTTATGCAGTGAGCTGAATCAGACGGATTTGAAAAGTGAAGCCACGGTTATCTGGAAGCAGGAGAAAGAAATTAACGTTCCAATCTGTGCCTAAGTGCTGAAGTCATCCTTCCCTTCTGATTCCCAGTGATCCCAGCGGCTTCCAAACATCTTCTGGTCACATCTCTGAACTGGCTCTGAGAGAGGGACTGCAGGGAAGGAAGAGCGCAAAACTTCCCCCATGACCAAAAATCATTACTTTTCATTAAAAAATAAACAATAAGTGGCCCAAACACGGAATGCAAAACCAGCCTAGCAAACATCAGCCAAGCAGATACCCTGCGGCTTCTCTGCATGAGCACTGCTTGGCCAGGGTGCAGCTCTGCACTGAGCTGGGGGGGGGATTCAGATCCCAGCTGCCAGCAGTGCCCAGGAGGAACCCTGGCAGGAGGGGACACGGCCACCTTAAATAACTGCACTGGAGCTCTGCGTGCTGACAGTGACTGCTGCAGGACATGTGGCTGTGTCAACTCCTGCCAGGGCTGTGAGCCTGATGGGCAGCAGTGCTCAGCTTGCAGGCAGATGGAAACAGGAGCCTGTAGATCATGGTTTAGTGTTCTGTTTCAAAAAAATAAGAATTTTAAAAAAGGAATGATCTCCAGGATGCTAGCTAGGGAGCAGAAGAATTAGCAACCCACGTAGAGCACAAAGCAAATGTAGACATGAAACAGCTTGGCTGCTGATATGGATGAATCTTGCACTGGGAGAGCCCTGTAAGTGAGCAAGTCAGGCACAGCACAGATCAGGGTCTCAGATTATGAAGCAATTGGATTGCAACCTGAACCTAAGCAGCTTCAGAGACAGAAGTAACAAGATTCACATGGATTACAAAGGATGCTCACTGCTGTGCTTAGTGAGCCCAAGCTCACACACAGCTGATGGAGGTGAAGAAAGTAATTTCCATTCCCTACTGATGCTGGCTACATGACCTCTATCCTACATGCCTCCTTTCAAGTCAAGACATCATCTTTGATTCGATGATGATAAATATTCACGCTAAGAGCAGGACTGCACTGACACCTGCCCTCACCACCAGGACAGCTGTTCTGGGACTGCTGAGCCACCTCCTCTATTTAAGTTCCAGATGCAAACACACAATTTCTAATGCCCTGCCCCTAACCTCTGTTTGGAGATGACACCTGCTTCTCTTTAGCTTCACAACTGATGTGATAGGGGAAACAGAGGACCACAGAGCTAAACCCTCTCACCTTCAGCTTATACTTCCACGGAGATTTCAAGTCAACTAAAAATGCAGCTAACAAGGAATGTGTGGGAGTCAGAAAGCAAACTCAGTTACTTTTTATGTTGGTTTTTGTCCTTACATCTCCCCGCCCTGCACAGCTCAGCCCTGTGGATGGGGGGAGCCTGCATGGAACCACTTCTTAGAATTCCTCTGCCCCAAAAGAAAGAAAACTCCTGCTGTGCTTCTATGAATGCATGCAGACAAAGCTCAGAACTCTCAGCAGCTTCCAACCCTCAAGGCTGTTTTTCTGTGTACACCGGGAAATTCTCCTTCTAGCTTGCAAGGCTTCTCATTTTGCTGGAAAACTGGCCAAAAAACAACCCAAGTGCAAAACGTTTCAGCTAGAGCATGGGAAAACAGTTTGAAGGGACCACTCCACACCACCATCCTTAAGCATTTCTGTAGATGAGCGGGGATCACTCTTCCAATTAGCCACAGGCCTTTAAGTGCACACCAAAATCCCACAGAAAACCACCTTGAATGGGCAAACTACACTTCCAACATATTTATATAGCGAGTAGTTAGTAGAAGTGTACATTTTTAATGTACCTCTTAACGCAATAAAGAATCAATGGCATATCTGAACTGTATATATGTGTACTTAAATAAACCTGCACATACATAGACAATAGTAAATTACCTACCTGCATTTGTTCTCTGAAGGCAGCACTGGACATGCACTCACACTCCATTCTGGCAGCCTTGTCTCTGGCAGCACCCCGCTGTCCCCCATCACCTGGGCACTGTGGGGTGGAGGTGGCATTGCTGCTGTGCCTCCAACCAAGGCATGCAGGCAGCAGTGCTGCCGCAGAGAGGAATGAGAGCCTGCTCTAGCTCATGGCATCCTGGGGAGGATTTGTGACTGCTAAGGGGGTTACAACAACACGTCTGCATCTCAGTGCCCAGCAGGCAGGCACGTACCGTGAGAAGCCCCTGCCAGAACACTGGGCAGCCTCGTGAAGAGGGGACAAAGAACGAACTGGAAAAGCAAAAGCAATTAAAGGTAGAAATCAGACACCATCTTTGGAAGAGGTTCTGAAAGAGCTTTTTGTTTTTAAAACAGATTTTTTTGTAAATTTCTGGATCTGATCCTCTGAGGCTTGCTACCCACCCTTCTAATAAATATCATTTACCACCAACAATAAAGTCTCCCACATTAAAAAGCTCTCACTAAATAAAACCCTTCTACAGAAAAAAAGCTTGGCAAAAACAAGGAGCTGTGACTCTCCATAAATACATCAGCGGGTAAACACCAAAAACTATTTAAGTTAAGGGACAATGTTGGCTCCAAAACAAACCAGGAACGAACTGGCCACGAATTAATTCAAACTAGAAATTTAAGGAAAGTTTCTAACCATTCAAAGGCAGCGGAGCTCTGGAGCTGTCTTCCAAGAGCAAAAGTGAAGGCAAGACATGGAACCAATTTTGAGCTGGGAATGATTAGTTTACGACAGGATGGTCTGACACAGCACTTGGCTGGGCTGTAGCTCAGTCCTCCTCTAGACCTTGTGTTCTCTTAGGGAGGGATATTAAAAAATGCATCACGCAGCAACCACTGAGACAACAGGAGCACGTCAAAAAGGAGCAGGGTGTGGAAGCAGAGAGGTTAACAGAGAAACATGCTTGGCTCTGTCACATGAAGGCAGAACTGCTGTGGATGGAAAAAAACAAAAAGTGGAAAAAGCAAATACTTGAAGTTATCAGCACCACTGCTGGAGGATCACTCATAGTCACAGAGGGCTGAAAGTAGGAAACTTCCCGACTGCTGCTGCCTCACAGAGCCCTTGGAGACAACAATGGCCTGAACCACTCTCAGCAGCTCTGTGCTTCTCTGCATTTGTCCTCTGAAGAACAGCTTGTTCTCTCCGAACAATGAAAAGGATTCCAGGTCAGGATGGAAAAATTATGATGTGCTAGTTCTCAGTGATTAAAGGGAGACTTGGAGATTGAACAGCCTGCTGCAGTCAATCTCCAACTGCAAAAAGGAACATGCTTTTGGCCAACAAGGGACAAACACCGAACTCCCTCTCCTGTGTTTGCTGCTGCTTAATGGAGAGTATGCAATGCTAAATTTGACCTCACCCCTCAGGATGAACACTGAGCTTCCACCTGGCCTCAATGCAAGACTGGCAGCTTCTTTCTCAGGTACCTTTTCTGACATGCACCCACACATACACACACGTGTGCATCCTGCAGAGCTCTTCAAAGCCAGAGCTTAGGGACTGAAAAAGGCAGAGAGGTTATATGCAGCCATGCCAGCCTTTAGAGAACAAACACCTTAACGGACAGATGAAAAAAATGTATTGTGCCATAATAGTCCATATCTAAGCAATGACCTTGTTTACACAATGTCTGAGATTCGTTATGCTTGTATAGGCAGCTGTAGGCATCGGTATATGAATATGAAATCTGAAAGTTTGTCCACTGAAAAGCAAACAAGAGCATCCTATTTCCTGGGCGTGAGCTGAGCCCACAGCCCCCATCTCTGCCAGCCCTCAGCCGTCTCCTGGGCTGGGCCAGAGCTCTGCACTCAGTGCCCAGTTTCGCTCGCACTCTCTCTCGTGCTGCACTCAAAGGTCTCATTTATGGCAGTGCTTTATCACCGTGTCCTGCTCCTGACGTCTGTATTAGACTGGCCCATCAACTTCTTAAAGACCAAAAACTTCTCAAAGGTGAGAGTGGATCCTCTGGGACAAGTGGTTTGAGTTCAGTCTGTTTCTAGAAAAAAACACAACACAGGTGTCAGAGATGCTCCGGCATGCTGCAGGTGTCTGCAGCAGGGAACAGGGGGTGCAGGTGCACCTCATGATAGCAAACCAGGAGCCCTGATGGAATAGCTGCAGAGAAAAGCTAGCCCAGCATCCAGCTGGGATGGGCACCCAAAATCCTTCTGGGAGCAGGGCTGGGTCCTGCCAGTAGAAGGGCACAGAAGGAACCTCTGTGCCTTGTCAGGCCACAGGACCTTGCTGCATGGCAGAAGGCCACGTTGGAGGGTGCCAGCAGGGACACGGTGTGGAAACCTCCTCTGTTCCATACATATCTTTCAAAAGTAAGTTCTAGAGAAGGGATAGGGCCAGCAGATATACATGCCATGCTGGCCCTGCCTGTTCCCTCCTTCTTCGCAGTCTCTATCAATGCCCAGGCCTTGCCATGCTCCAGATAATGATGCTCACATCACGTGAGCCAACAGGAGTGGCACAGGAAGGGGCTCTGCACAGGCATGGAATGCGGGCACACAAGGGCACGTGTGCTGCCCAGGGCCACGGGAGAAGTTGCTGTCAGTACTGGCAATCAGCAGCCAGACCCCTTCCTTCTCAAACATCCACCACTTCAGAAATAATAAACCTAAAGGCCACTTTCCCCCAGGGGAAGGTATACTGACAAGGCACACCTGCTGGTTTTACCCCTAAAGCCAGGATGTGGCTTTGGAGCTGGGTGCTTCTTACCCCCTTGCCACGATCCCCTTACCCAGGGAAGGGCTTCCTCAGTTTAAACCCAAATAGCCTCAGCTTCCAGTGGGAAGCTCTCAGGTCCTTACCGAGCTGTGTGGCAGGTGGCTGGACGGGGGCTCCAGGGGGCTCAGCTGCCCCCTCCGGACCGCCCGGCTCCCAGGGCTCGCTGTTCTCCAACACCTCCGAGCCAGCATCAGGCGGCCCTTTCTGGCTCCCCGTCTGCTCGCTGCTGGAGAAGGCATCCTCAGAGGTGCTCCGGGTCTCCTCCTCCACCTTTGCTGCAAACCACACCTTCACCTGCTGGGCGCTGAGCTGGGTGCGCTCACAGAGCCCGGGCAGATCATCCTCACGCAGCGCCTTGTGCTTCTTGTAGTGCTCCTCCAGCACCTCCCGCCCCGCCGCGCTCACCTCCAGCAGGCCGGGGGGGAAGATGCCCCTCCGGTAGTTCTCATACCACTTGAGCTGCCCGTTCTTGTAGCCGTACCGACTGTCACCAAACCAGCGGATGACTTCGGCCCGCGGCAGGCCGGTCTGCGACACGATGGCATCGTACTCCTGGTTGGTCGGCCGCTGCGTCTGCACGAACATTTGCTTCAGTAAGTGCCGCTGCTGGGCTGTTTTCTTAAAGTTCAGTTTGGGTTTGGGAGGGCTGGGGGGCTGGTTGCTGCCGCCGTCCCCCTTCTCACCTGCAGCGGTGCCGGGGGCCTCCCCCTTGCCGTTGGATTCTGTCACACGGAGGTTCTTCAGGTTGATTTTGATGGGACTCACCTTGCGCTCGGCTGAGTTGGGGTTGTTGGCGGAGGCATCGAGCGAGCAGTTCTCACCCAGGGCCCTCAGGTCATCCAGAGAGTCTTCTCCTTCCCCACGGCCGTTCTCAGCCTCTTCTTCCTCCTGTTGCTGCCCTGCTTCTTCCGCTTTCTTGCTCTCCTCCACCACCTTCTTCTTCCTCCTCTCTGTGAACCAGCTGTCAATCTCCCTCCGCGTCATCTTTGTCTCCCCCCTCAAGCGATTCACCTCTTCCTCCGGGGGCTGAGGATTTTGGGCAAAGCTGCTCTCCAGGGCCTTCAGCTGCTCCGGCGCGCGCTCCTTGTACTTGGTGGCTGTGAAGTCGGGTGCCTGGTGCCAGGACTGCCGCCTGCCCGGGTGCTGCAGGACCGGCACGGCCGCAGGCGTCAGCTCCACTCCTTTGGGAGGCACCTCAAAGGGAATTTCAGGCAGAGAATCGAGAGCGCTGTCTCCGGGGAAGATGGCCCTGCCGCCTCGCACGTTTCTGTAGTGGTATCTCCTGTCACTGAACCACTTCCGAATCTCCTTGGTGGACAAGCCAGTTATTTTTGTCAGCCTCTCGACCTCAGCCTGCCCAGGGAACTGATTCCTGCAGAAGCTGCCCTTCAAGGCAGAGAGCTGCTCGTGAGACTTCTTGTTCTTGAAGACGTTGGGATCCAGGAAGGTCTGCGAGGAGATGGCCGGGCAGGCGGTGAGCACCGACGGGGTGGCTGTGACCACCTTCAGCGCTGAGGCGCTGCCGGAGCTCACCGTGCTGTGCTGAGCTGCCGGTGGGGGCTTGGGGACAGAGCTCACTGCCAAGGTGAAGGAGGAACTGGTGCCCTTCAGCCCGTTGGCCATGATGGGCTGTGTGACCAGCAGCCCGCCCGTGCCCTCGGGCTGCCCCACCACGTGGCCTGGCAGAGTTGCCTGGATGAGGTGCGGGACGCTGCCAGGGTTGGCAACTAAGGGCGTGTTGAGCACTGTGATGGTGGGCTGCGGCACGGACTGGATGACCGTGTTAAACATCTTCTTCCTGGCATCTTCTATCTCCTCTGGGGACCAGCTGATGCCCTGCTTCAGCCTCTGAGCAGTGAACCAGATCTTCAGCTGCTCTTCGGGGTATTTTGTCACCACGGTCAGGTAGCAGAGCTCAGCTTTTGTGGGGTAAGGGAACTTGTGGAAAGAGTTTTTCAGGAAGCTGTTGGAGTCCATGGCTGCATTGTATGTGGGAATGCTGCTCAGGGGAATCATCACCTTGGGAAGGGACTTGGACGTAGGTAGCTGCTGATGCAGGGGAGGCTGCTGCTGCAGTGAAACAAGCTGTGCAACACCCGCCGGCAGAACGGGCACATTTCCAATGATGGAGCCGTTCACTACATGAGATGATTTTGTGGCACTCGTGGTGGCCTGGCTGACCGGCACCGAGCCGCTGGTGAACGAAGCCTCTCCGTCCTTTGTCTCCGACTCAGCACCCAGCTGACTCGGCACATTCTCCTTCAGCGTGTGGATCTTTTTGGCCTCAGGTTTGCCTTTCATTATCTTCATGATGGGGGTTTTGGTGATGATGATTTCAGACTGACCATCTACCACTTCCTCAGGGACCTCTCCCGGAGGGTCGTGGCTGCTAGCAGCTTCTGAGAGGCTTTGCTCCACGACCGTACGACTGTCCTGCTTAGCCACCCTCCAGACAAAGCTCATTTCATTGCCATGCGACTCCGCGTTGTGCTGTGAGAGCCCTTCGTGGCTTTTCACCAGAAAGTTGCATGCAGTGCACACAAACGTGGGCTCTTTGCTGAAGTCCGAGTGCTCAGAGTCCAGGTGCCCGAAGAAATGCTGAATGTCTTGAGACCCAAAGTCACAACCCTTGCAGATGTAAGTGTCCCCATCGGTGATGCTGCGGTACCCATTGGACAATGCTTCACTGCTGCTGCTGGTGGCACCGACATTGCTCGAGGCCAGCCCTTCAGCGGGAGCATCCTGCTGTGTTCCTTCAGGTTCCTCTTCAACAGTCTCCAGTTCAGTTTCCTGAAGCACCAGTGTTTTTACTGGGATCATGCAAGGAGTTGTAGATTTCCTTTTGCTAGCCATCGCTACAATTAATCTGGATGATACTATTTAACTTAAATTAAATTAACATTTAAAAAGCGCTACTGCAAGTGCTCTGTCTTCTAGATTCCAGCAAATTCATGATGTCCCAAGGAGCTGATGTCAAATGTTGACCAATGTTCATATTTGCCACTGAACCTGAGGACAAGGAGAGGGAGGCGGGGTTAGTTCCCTTGGCATCACACAAAGCACAACTGTATTTAACCGTTTCACTCAATAAATCACTTTCAGTGCCTTTTGCTGGAAAATAAAAAAAAACAACTTGACCTTGGATTTCCCATATTTTTAGACTCGCAGACTATGAATTACCTGTTTGAAAAACAAACACGAGCAGGAGCCAGCTGTGCTGTGGCAGCGAAGCCGACCTGCTGCTCACACCGCTGCTCCCTCCCATCCAGCTCACAACCCCAACCTCCTCCATCTCCATCCTTTAACACACGAAGCACCCAGCTCCACTCACAGCAGTGCTGGAAGCACCCATGGGTGCTGTATGGCAGAGCTGAAGACTTTTTTCCCCAGAATCTCTTGTGAGGGAATGCAAGATATTCGTGGTGCTGTGTGCGCTCAGCTCCACTCCACTGCTCAGCTCTGCTCCCAAGCAGTGAGCAGCAAAATGCAATTTTCCTACGTGTGCAGCACAACTGTGTAATGCCTCTTTCATAGGCTGTACCAAGTCCTCATTTGAGGAGCACAGACACCAAGATGTCCCCTTGCCATGCCCTATACCAACAGTGTGCCAGGAGAGCCTGCCAGGCTCCTGCCTGCTTCCCATCACAACACCTGATGAAAATCAGTTTTACTCTTGTAAAAAAACCTGAACTAAAAAAAAAAAAACCAAAAACCAACTTACCATCCTGCCCGATGAGCCCAGAGGTATCTCCCACCCATCAGAGCAGCTGGGCACACAGAGCTCCTCTACCACATACATTGCTGCCCCGTGCACACAGAAACACAGATAGGAAATGACTTTGTGATGCACGCACAACTGCAACACTGCTGCATTTTGATGGCAGCTTTTAGAACAAAGCAAAGTGAGATCCTAGTGCTAAAATCAAACTGAGGAAGTACAGTCTGACCTCCATCTGTACTTCTTTAAAAGTTTTTGAAATATTGTTCTGGAAAAAATGATGTCAGCTTGCAAACAGGAGAGCCCGGATGGGCAATTCTGGGCTCAGCAACTCTCGGGCACGATTTAAAAGACTGATGGGAAAACGTAACTTCCCGTTAATGTGGGCTGATCTGAGATTACAAAACAGTCCTGTAAATAGCGTTAGTCATCACTGGCATCGGGAAACACTGCTTGCTGTGATAGAGCTTCACAAAAAGCTAGAAATTATAACTTTCACAAATCTATAAATGAAACAGCCTTAAAGCTGCGTGCTGGATTAGGATGGTGTGAGCTGTGCGTTCTCAATACCTGCTTTATGCTGCTCCTCTCCCACCTCCCAGTGGCCAGCCTTCCCTTGCAGAGGGCCAGAAAGTTATTCATGAGCATTTGCAAGTGGAATACTTGGATGACTATGAATGGGCTCTGCTATTCAGCAGGGAACAGCATCCATTTGACACCAATCCCAAGATCCTCATTTTTGATGCTAAGTTAAATATTACACAATCTAGCTGGGTACATTGACCTTTCCAACTTGAGTCAATTAGGAAAAAAACAATAAGAGCAGCCTGAGGGCTACAAAATACACCTTTACAGACTGGAGTTTGGTGGTGTGGCAGTCTCACCCTGCAGCCCTGATACAGGGAAGAGAGGAACTGCTGGTCCCTTCCAGCAAGCTGCCAGCAGACCCAGCTTCAGCATCCACCTCCAGTACTGGAGGCAGCTCCAGTCCCAGACAGAGCTCACGTTGTGGTTAAGGAGTTTCTACAAAAAGGTTATATTTTATCTGTCAACAGAGTGAATTTGATACAGAGCAACCCAGATACACAAAGACGCCCGTTGTGTCCTGTTAGCAGAGTGCCTCTTCAGAGCATGCAGTCAGTATTATTTTGGGTAGATGTGCGCGGTCTGACCCACCTATGGAGAACCTGAAAGCTCTCTGTTTCATTTACCAGCATGCCTGCACCACGCTCAGCACTCTCTCCGATGAGCTTTGTTAAAAATGCAATCAGGGCAGCACAGCCAACGTGGCTCTCCTGCTGGGGATCCAATATTAATGCCACCTGAGAACACAGATTGCAAATCTGGCTGGAAGTGCATCACAGTGCCAATTTACTGGTAAAAAAAATTAATGGAGTGTACTGTTTGTCCGCTTCATTTCCATGGAACAGTTGCATAACCACATGTTAAGAGCATGTTTTATTCACTGCTCACCTTCTGGAATGTACTAACTCTTTAATACAGCAGTAATATATAACAGAATGCACAATTTGCTGATCTCTGTCATTGAAATAAGCAAGGTTGTTTTAACGGATAGATTAAATTAACAGCAGAAAAATTGTGCAATTAAAAAGCAGCCTTACGGTGGAGCTCAGCGTGCCACCACTGCAAATGCCTCAGACCCATCTGCACAGCCACGTGAGAAGAACTCGATTTCCTATGTATTATGTTATAATTAACTGGAAGAAAGACGAGCTGGATGCAATATCCACCCTGCAGACAGGAAGAAAAAGGGATCATCCTCTCTAATCCACACCTGCTAATTCAACGGCAAGGCAGCACAGCAAGCAGCAGCCACCACCCGATGACCCATGGACTTAAACCTGCCTCGCACGTCGGAAATGTGAAGACAAACTGACCTCAAGCGGAGGAATTTGGTACCAGAGATGCTCAGAGAGAGCTCACAGCAGACGGGCAGGCAGCCAGGAGCCTCGGGCCAGGTCTGGTTGCTCAGAAAGGAGGAACGGAGGAGGAAGATGGAAACTGTTAAACTCAGGATCCCAGTCCCAGAACACAGTGCAGAGTTTCTGCGCCAGGCAGCCCCCGAACCAACTGGGCCAGGGAGAACCACCGGCCACCCTGCATTGCCTGGGAGAACAATGCCCAGAGAGCGGTCAGAGGGAGCTCAGAGCTTCAGAAACTGTGCTTCTGCAGAGATTAACAAAGGGAGGTTTCGAAATCGGCACTGCTGAGTATGAACTTTCAGCTTTTTCCAGCTTGGCTGGATACAACTGGTTTGGTTTTAAATGTTTCAGTGAATTAATGAGTTAGGTCGTTAATGCAAAACACTCATTCTGCGCGGTGCCAAGGTCCCCAGTTAGAAGATTAATTCGGTGACCTTTTGCAAACCTCCCCTAGAAACAAGGAGGAGAAAAACCACCCCGCAGCACCAGCAGCCACCCGCACCAGGGACACGGCGGATGGCGCAGCCCTGCTGCGGGCAGCTCTGCCGAAGGGTAAATGCTCACTTAGAGGGAAGGAAAAAAAAGATCAGCACCAAAATAGACGTAAAATAACAGTTTTCTCAACGCTTTCTGTGCCTGCTAGGCAGGCAGACGCGCTCCCCAGGTCAGGGACAAAGTTGATGTTTCTGTCTCATGCGGAGCCAAGCACAATATTGGCACTTCAAACAACAGCAGCTTGTTTTTCAGCTGAAACACTGCGGGCCCCACTTGATATCATAATATGGAAAAAGAAAATTAAAGGAAGAAGAAAAGTTTACACTTGAGAGCTTTCCCTTTACTACCTGCAGCACAGTGCAGAAGACGCAATCCTTCCTTTGGGAAGTCATCGAGGCTCTCCAGCAGCAGCCAAAGCCCAGCAAAGAGGAGATCCTTGAGCTTTGCAGCCCGGTGCCTTCCTCTGCCACCTCCTGCACCCCAAACGGTGGTCCTGCCTCAGCTCGGGGTGCAGTTACCTGGATGCTGGCAGGGGAGGAAGCACCTGATGCACACAGCCCTGAGGACGCAGCCCTTCCTGCTGCCACTGGCCCTGCAGTGCCAGGGCTCTTTCCTCTTGGGTTAGTCATTAACATTTGTTTTTCATTTTAATCCTTTCATGAGAAATCATGTAGGAGTTTACCAGTTACACTAATTATCCAGCTTATTGCCAAAACATGCCCTGTTGGGGCTGGCAGGAGGCAGGAAGGCCACAGGCTCCTGAAGTTTCCAGACTAAGATAGGAGAGGTGAGATCTGTCCCAGCATCTCTGGGCAGCCATGGGCTCAAGTCACAGGCACTGGGTACCACACAATGTGTGGTGAGGGCGTGCAGCACATCACACCCCAACACGGAGCTGCGAGCAGGGCGGCTGCTGCTCACAGCATGGGGACAGCAGTGCCACCGACCTGCCACCCGCAGCCTGGTCTCAGCACACAGCAAGGCCAGCACACAACATTCTGCTGGGTTTAACCCCACAGGGAACTGCAAATTCCCGTGAACAAACAGTTCACGACACCTTCCCCACCGCTGCAGATCACTGGGGCTCTGCCACTGCTGGTGCTCTCAGCCAGCCACAAAGCACCAGCAGCTCCAGACAAGCCCTGCGGGCAGGAACAGCCTCTCCATGTCTTATTGTCTCACACCACACCACTGTACAAACGCACACACCGGGTGCAGCAGTTTCGAGCTCCAAGCAGCGTCGCACAGCAAACATTTGTGCTAAGGAACAATTTCTCTTTATGCCGATTGCTGGGGCGTGCTGCAGCCCAAGCCTGGCTTTGCACTGCATGGCTGGGCTGAAGGCAGTAGACCCCACAGCCCAAACAATCGCCTGCATTCTCCGTTCCTTGGCAGGCCTTAAACAGACGGGCATCATTTTCATTCAGACCCGTGCAAGAAAGCTATTCATTAGGATCTCACCCTTCTATAGGCTGCTGCACCTCTCCATTTCAAATGTGCCTTTAAGAGATCTCTCCTCCACCCTGCGTGTATTTCATTGACCTGTTTCAAGCCATTTCCAATCTGGGAGACAAGTCTGTGGGTTGAGCTGTACTTCCAGAATAGCAGCACTGTGCCTTCATCTCTGTTACCTGGGCAGAGGCTGCCTTTGTGTGCTGGCACCCGGGGACCAAAGGTAATTATCTCCGCTCTTTTTCAGCCGAACGCAAACCCGAGCGAGATGGGAGCTGGAGAGGGGTGCCTGAAACAGAACGCGATTAGAGTATAAAAATAGGTCACTGGGATAATATAACCTTTAGACTACTGGCAACGTGCCTCCCTCAGAGACAAGCTGCGTGCTATATTTCAGCAGA